CCAGTCCTGTAGCTCCCTGAAGATACTCGCAGCTCCCTGAAGATCCTCGCCGCTCCCTGAAGATCCTCGCAGCTCCCTGAAGATGCTCGCTGCTCCCTGAAGATCCTCGCAGCTCCCTGAAGATCCTCGCAGCTCCCTGAAGATGCTCGCTCGCGGTTCACTTCTCACGCGTGACTTGGTGACTGCTGGTAACGACTCGGACTCGCGAGGGGTATCGGCCCTACGGGCTTAGGGAAGCGTCACCGTTCTCAGACTAGGGGGAACAGAAGCTGCGCTCTCCAGGATCGCTCCTTTCGACACACCGCCGCCTGTCCCTTGCTCTGTCCCGGATGGTCCCACTGGGGTTTCTGCTCAGCCCGCGCGGACAGTCAAGGCGGTAACGCCAGGAAGCTGCCTCGCGCCTTACTTCGCTTCCACGCCTAGTGTAAACGAACGTTCCACCCTAGCCTCACCCTTTTGCTTTTTGTCCGGGACGTTTCCGTGTGGCTTTTGGTACTCGGGGTTCGGGCACGCCGCTCCGGGACCTCGCAAGTCGAATCCGTAGGGCTCTCCTGGATAATTCCACTCGAGACCGTACCGATCGACCGCTCTCCCTTCTGGCTTGTTATATTCGTGGTTCGGGCACGCCGCTCCGGGACCTCGCAAGTCGAATCCGTAGGGCTCTCCTGGACAATTCCACTCGAGACCTTACTGATCGACCGCTCTCCCTTCTGGCTTGTTATACTCTTTCCAGGCGTAACGCCAGGACTTTGTGGACAGGGTTAACCGACCGCCTTGACCTAGCCGTGTGATGCCCTCTGGATCTCAGCTACCTGCGTCTCAATTCGGAGATTCCTGGTATCCCAATCCCGAACGTCTCGACGTAGCAATCTCGTTCCTTGTAGGCTCCCACGGCGCTGCTTCTCTGGCGACTCGACTTGCTGCTGCTCCCTTGTAGGTTATCGGGTTGTTTGATTGTTCACTTTGGTATCTGAGTGATCTTGACGGTTTGACTCCTTGTGATCGACTGATCCTGCTGCCAGCGCTCTGCGGCCTTATATAGGGCCTCCAAGCACCGTTATTCCCCTTTTGCGCACGGCCCGCTGGATCTCTCCACTTTGGGTCCAAAGTCCGTGCCTCCTGGATGACCCACTTGTCCTTTATGTACCGCTTCCAATAGACGTTCCGCCCACTGCTGCCGTTCCGCTGATTCCCGTGCCGCTTGTGGCACGCCTGTGTGCCGCTCCACTGCCGAGATGTGGCACTTCCTCTCCAAGTCCAAAGTTCACGGGAGAGTCCAAAGTCCAGAGGAGTTCCGTTATCCCCTTCTGCATACGGCACTCTTGCTCTGCCCGCGAAGTCTCCATTCTCTCTCGATCTCCATTCTTGGTCTCCAATCTCTCTCGCTCTCCTTCATTGGTCTCCAAACTCTCTCGCTCTCCATCCTTGGTCTCCAATCTCTCTCGCTCTCCTTCCTTGGTCTCCAAACTCTCTCGCTCTCCACGCCGCGCCGTTACTACGCGAATTCGCCGCGTATCTGGTAAGCGGCCGGCCATCTGCTGCTGCTTCTATTTGTGGGGAGTTATTCAACTCCTCACAAGTTATGAACAACATAATACTCGAATCCAAAAATGACTTCGTGGTCCTGTTTCTTTCGAGAAATTTTATTTCTTTTAGTTACACACATGTCCATCAGGTAAGACTACTTTAAATAAACTGTAAATATGTTCTAGTCTTACCGGTATATAAAGGAGAAAGCCCTAGCAAGCACACCCTCAGTTGATTAAAAAATCTCAACCAATGATGAACACAGTCGATCGTAATTCAAGCATTATAGTAGATTTTCAATATGTACTTGGTAACAACAAACAAGTTTTCGTTAAGGAGCTGGCGTTTATGCCTGCTGGAACTGTTATACCTAATTTTTTCCATTTCAAACCGCCATGTAACATAAAAGAATTGGATAATGGAGCTCTTAAGCAGCAGCACTTTAACCAGCAGAACGTAAACGGATTGGATTGGTCAGCTGGAGATATTCCATACACAAATCTTGAAGAAATACTCACACCACTCAATAAGTATCACACAGTTGTTGTTCGTGGTGAAATTAAAAAGAATTTTTTTACATATTGGATGAAGTTTAACTCAACTACCCAATTTTTTTACAAATTGTAGAATACACAAGAAAAAACATCCACTTCGATGTTCGTTAAATAATTTATTTAAGCTGTTTGTATTCTTAGAAAACACCAATTATGAAATATATAGTAATGGTGACACATGTGTTTAAAATTTAGTAAAAATAGATTCATGGCCCTATCAGGTTGTCTCTTATTATGGATTCTTTTAAGAGATTTTTTGGAAATAATCCCCGTAAAAATGGATACACGCAACTTATTTGTTGTAATCATTGCGGATCTGATACTCATTTCGAGAAGAACTGCTCCAAGAAACGCGATCAAGAGAATATTAATAAAACCTAGTGTAACTTAAAAACATTATGTAAGCAATTAGTAATAATATAATATATTAAAATTCATTCCGAATAAAATAAATTTTTTTATTAAGAAAAATGTTTACACAATTTATACATCCTTTTACAATGCTTATTTGTGGACCCTCAGGATCGGGAAAAACAACCTTTTTAGAAAATCTAATCACCAAAAAGAATGATCTTTTTAATATTTCAATAGATCGAATTATTTGGTGTTATGCAGAGGAGAGTGCCAAGCCCAATTTCGAAAAGATTGAATACACTGGTAAAAAAAAACATCGTAAATGTCACTATTTCGCCAACGTTTCAACTATTTTTCCCAGCGGTTTAGAACCTAACATGAAAATCGTAAAAACGAAAACGTTAAATAGTTAATTATTTTTTGAATAATCTCGTAGTAAGTTCAACGATTTTTTAATTTCGATCAAATATGTTAAAATAGTACAAAATAATTAAATTAAATATGTTCCATAGTAAAAAGTATTATATTTTTATATTTATTTTAAATATTTTCATATTTAGTTCCAGTAAATAGAATATTTCATTTGAATGGTTTTTATAGTTAAAATAATTATAGCCCGCCCTCAAACTCAGCATATTTTTATTTGGATTAAATAATTCTCATATTTAAATCAGACTGGGATGAACTTTAATATAAATACAAATTTTATTTAAATTAAATATAATCCCCGTTAAAAGAACTGTACTTTATTTTTGATTTAAATATAGTATTTAAGCCATACTATTATGGTGCATATTCAATTTAAACCGATCCGTAGTTTAAAACAAGCGTGATTTATATTTAATAAAGACCCAAATAAGTATGTGGTTTTATTTAAAATAAACGTAAACTTATAATCCAAACAATTCTGCTTAAACTCTTTTTTTACCATGCTAACATTTCATCATTACTTTTGTTTTAAATACATTTGTACTTAACGTAAGTCTTAGAATTTATATGATACGTATGCATAGGGCAGCTAGTAAAGTCTTCAATGTTTTTTATAATCACAGATTTTTGTGTTTTGCCACATTCGTACGCCTGCATGTGCGTACAAAACTTTTTAATTGCAATATTATTACAGGCAACGTAAACTGTTTGTGCTTCCACAAACGCAAAAAAGTATCTTAAATAATAAAAAGTTTGTATTTCTTATTCCCAAACAATAGTCTTTCTTATATGTTATACCTTTGTACAAAATATGCTCAGATATTTGAACATTTTCAGATGACAACTTATAGGAACTAATTTGTTTCAAGTATTCTTTATGTATGTCGTCATTTACAAAACTTATTACTTTAAAGTGGGGAGGAATTCCGTCCTTGTTCTTCATTAGAAAGTAAGAGAAACTAAGACTTTCTTTTATAGCGAGAGAACGACATTCAGCTATCCGCGACGTTATAGAACTTAAATATGACTTAGAGTTTCTGTGTTTAGCTTCGAATCTCATAACCCAAGATAGCTTAGGAGGTCCACATTTTCTTATCGCGGTCGGGTAGTGAACAAGAAAATGATGCTTAGGTTTCAAAGTTGGTCCATATAACGAAACATATAATTTATGATGAGCTTGAATCTTTCTATCAAGAACTTGTAAGTCAGCATCATTAAATTCATTTTGAAATAACATGTCAATAATTTCTAGCATTTCCGTGAATAAAATCCAGTTTTTGTTATTCTTGGGCACATAGCTCGCTATCATAAATAGCAGATACCTAGCTAGGCAAAGTTTCTCACTAGCGGTCATTCTTAGTTCGTTTTTTTGTAACTTACTCAGAACAAGAGGACGCGATGCATTTTTTATGTCTAACTCTCCAAAGGAAAAACATTTTTTCCGATAATTAATAATGTCTAAACTTAAAATTTTTCCTTTTATCAAAGCTGTGAGAGTTTGGCATACGCTATAAACACATACGCCTTCTAGGACATCGTGCATGAGATCAAAATAAAAATTTTCTGTTACATGAAAAGTTTTAAGTTCGTTAAATAAACAGTCGCTCTTAATTCCTGTTTCAAGAACATCTTGTGCTTTTATGTCATTTTCATACGAAGCCCTGTTTCTTAACAAATTTGGATGTTCACAAATGTCTCTTTTCATTTCTATGTTGTTTCGCCTGCATGCTCTGCAAAATCGTTTTGCTCTAAATGATTTTATAAAACCTAATATCGAGTTGAGTCCTAAATTGTCACCTAAAATTAGACCTACTACAATCTATATAGTAAATGACTCTTTCCCTATTGTTACCCTAATTCCATTTTCTAGTTCTTCTAAAACCTGATATATTTGATAAAATACAACATCATTATCTATTTCCTTAAATGCTTGACTTGGTATATATGCAAAGGGAAAAATAAAGTCTAACTTAGATTGCAAGTATTGAGGCAAAGTAGGAAAAGAATAATAGCAGCCACATATAGATGAAACATGTGCACCTATGGCATTATTAATTTGAAATTCATCGGCATAGAAATTTAACGGAATAATAATATCATTTATATCATAATGTGAAAGCTTGTTAGCAAACGTACAGGTATTGACAAAGTTGCAAATAGTTTCCTTTTTCATTAGCTCTTCTTGATTTTTAACAGTAAGGTTCAAAACGTCTGGAATCTCGAAAAATTTTGTTATTTGGAACTTTACAGGCATAAGTTGTATGTTCACTTTGTGAGGCATGAGTTCTGCTTTGCCTCTTTTAATTTTAGGTACTAGTTTGTTTGAAATTGTATATGCCAAAGGATTTTCATAGAGATTTTTCTCTTTTAAAAACTTTAAAAATTTATACTCAGATACTATCGGCTTAAATGGACTCTTACAGAAATCTAAAACATAATTAAGTATTTCGTATGATAAAGTTGAACTTGTCAGAGCATCTTTAACTGCACTAGCTATTGGGGCTAGCAGATCAGCAATTTGTTTTTGTATAAACAGAATCTCATTTCTTGGCAGTCCAGGTCGAGCGTGCAAGCCACAAGAAAAAAAAAGACTTGTCTTCAAAATTGTTTTGACAATCTGTGGTTTTAATATGTGCTAAGTTATTCTTTAGAGCGACACTTGAGTCGCAATTGGAAGCTGCAGTAACATAAGTATTATTAATTTCGATAATATTGATTTCTTCAATGTTGTCATTTTCCGATAATGTAATCTCAGCATGCGAGTTACAAATATGTTTTAAGTTCAATGTATTAAAAATCTTAAAGCATACATCTAACGACTCTATAAAGGAGTCAAACTTATATAATGACTTATCAAAGTATACGAAAAATCCTTTCAAATTTTCTATGCATTCACCTTCAACTATCAAAAAAGGCTGCACCGTTTCTGAGCTTATATAATACTTAATAATTAACTGCTGAAGCTTTTCCTCATAGTCCGCAATGGAATTGATTCTGAGGACAAGACTTTCCAGTGAGTCCAGTAGGGAGAATTTCTTTCTCTTGTTTGTTCCTTTTATTACGGCCCATGAATTATTTGACACGACTGAGGTAAGTAAAATAGTGTAAATGTAGTCCTTGGAATCTGTGAATAAGAATATTTTATTAGATTTTTGGTTATGGCATAATTTAGAAAAAGCTAAGCTTATCATAAGAAGATAAAGTGTAATCTGCAAAATGTGTAGATTGAATTTTAAAAAATTATATATTACCGATTGATACCGTTTTCTGAGCTGTCTTTAATATTCTAAGACACTCTTTGTTTTGTATCTGATCTCCGTAAAAGCAAAAAACCTTTTCTTTGAATGGGTCCCATTTACGAAATAAAATATCTCCTTTCTCAGGGTATAATAAGTTGAAATCAATTTTTATCTTTAAAGAAAAAGTTAAGTAGTTTTATAATATGTTTCGAGTAGGTTGTTTTATATATAAGGATTTAAATACATAAACTAATAGGAGATGGTATACAAATGTACGGAATAGAAATTAAAAGAAGTTACCAAGTCTGGAGCACGGCAATCACCGTATTTTGGCCACTTCTTTAGAAATTGTGGACCATCCAGCAATTCGATGTCTTTTTTGCGTTGGGCATGAGATTCCCTCCATTTCTGACACACAGAGAGCCAATCAGAAATTTCCCGCTTTAACTCTGCTTTCAAAGCAAAGCTTGTTATGTCAGCAAAACCACTTGTTTGGGACACAGGATCGGATTCCTGTAATGGACCGGATCGACCGCGTTTCAAAAGCTTTGACCTTAGATTTGCGTACTTCCAGTACAGTTTTCCTGCAGGATGCTTCTGTATAAGGTTTCGGGAAGAAATTAATAAAAGCATAAATAACTTAATGAAGAACAGATTTGTTAAGCCAAAACACAGTTCAAAAACATTGATAGTGTTTAGATTAAGAACAAAGCACGGTCATAACTTACTCTCCAGTTCTTCTCCGAGGGAAATACCTCCACGATTTGGTCCACAATATCAGCAAAATCTGTAGTTTTAAGCGTCTGCTTCCTAGCTGAGATGTCCTCTATAATGATATTAATTATCTGGTCTCTTTGATCCGTCGTTAAGGTGTTTTTTAGGTTATATTGCTCGAGGAGAAACCTTCCCCGTGGATACCCCTTCAAAATGTCTGCAACCTGTTAAAAACAATAATAAGACAGGTCGACAATTAACAAGATTAAACGCTACAAGATCTAAAAGGATTTTACCTGTAGGCGACCACAGACCTAGATACTTTACCTCACGTCACAGCTTGAAAAAAATCGTGGTCAAAGTATAAATTAGCTCTGTTGTTATAAAGACTTCGACCAATACTTTCTTTAAACTGTGGTGTGATGGAAAGTTTTTGATTTGGGTCGTAAAATCCTTTCAGATTATGTAGAGGTTAGTCTTGTTCAAAAGTAGTTAGGTTGTTAAATATAATTTTAAATCTTACCAATTTGGGTTTCGCAGCACCTGCAATGGGGATCTCTTGGTCTTGTTCCTCACCTGAGTCTTCACCGAAATTCTATTAAAAGAAACGTTAGAATGTAATATTAAAAACTCTTTTTTTCCATACATACCTGTGATTTTTGCCACCCTAACAGTTTGTACCGAAACTCAGCTCGAATACCTATATTGCCAATAGCATCCCTTATGTCGTCCGCGGTCAAAAATTTGAGAGACTTAAAGGTCACACCTTTACCTGCCAAAAAATTGATTCACAAAAAATGTATTTTTAAAAAAAGAGGAACTTACGATTTAACTCTTCAAAAACTTCGGGCAAGCCAAAGGAGACGAGCAAACTTTGCAGCTGGAGTTCGTCGTTTTTGTCCATCTTTTATATGTGTAAAGGAATGTTGTTATATTTTTATAAATTCGAATTTATGTGCAAATGTTTTTTTAAATTTTTCGCATTTTTGATTTTATTGAAATTTTTTTTACGTACACTGTTCGGCATAAGTATTTTGACAAAACAAAAGTTAAATATACTCATAATTTGAACTTATTTCTTGTAAACTTTGGCATCAGTGGAAAGGTAATTTAGGTAATGTAATTTCAGCCAAATCCTGATACACGTGTTTACCACTTACCGAATAGTATGCGTAAAAAAAGGTGAAACGACTGCGCCACAGAGCAGAATGCAACGGCAGCAAAGCGTCTTTTTAGCGCCCTTTTAGAGTTTTTCTTCTCGTGCATTCTACTCCTTTTATCTAGCTTGGGCGGGTTTTCACTTAATTTTCTTTCGTATTCTTCATTTCTTTCTCGTATTTTTTATCCACTTTATGTTTATTTCACAACCGTATGTCTTTTTTTGTTTTAAATGTAATGCTCTTTTAAGCTTTAATTTCTTCAAATGTAAATTATCACGAAATAATAACGCGCACAACAAAGAAGAAACTCAAAAAGGAAAAATGCGACAAAAAAAACGTGGACATGTATTAAGTAATTATTGTATTTTTATTTGACTCACCTTTTGCTTTTTGCTGTACTTTTCATTTTTTCAACTCTCAAACTCTCTCTAAAAACTCACTCACAAAACTATAAATTACTTTTACTTCTGATCAGGAGGACCGCTTGCTTCGAAGTGATCGCGGGATTCGCTACAAAGCGGAGTGTCAAAATATTTCGTGTATACATACATACATACATATGCATGTGTGCAAAAAGGACGGACAAATTCTGTCGCGTGCCGTTACTTTACAATAGAAGTCAAAGTAATGGGGAAGAAAATAACAAAATATGTACAAATAAGTCCTTAAGTTTAATAACTTGTATATGTCAATTTAGTAATATTTATTTTATTTTATTATATTTATATATTATATGACCATATCTTATTGTCAAAACATCGATACACAAGAAATATTAATGTTCTTATGCGCATACATATTTTCTTGACTACCAATGTACGAATGCGAATGGAAAAAGAAGACGCGCTTGCGTTTGCCTTTTTGCTTGTTCATATTTATCTCTAATTTGTCTGAATGTATGTAAGTATGCACATTGTGCCGTTGGTTTTACGGCCCAGCGTTTACAATACACGCACCTTTTTTCTTTGGCTAAGCATGTTTTTGTACTTTTAATAGTAAATTACAAAGCCAAATCTTATGATAATTGTCATGGAAATAGAAAGAGGCTGCCGATGGTTGGGCAGCCGTAACTAAAACCATGTTCTTTAAATATTAAAGCTGTTTTTCTTTTGCAAATTATTAATAATTTAAATTATGTTGTGAATATGGGTCACAAATTTAATACATATATGTACATAGATACATATGCATATATGTAATTTGATTTCTAATTTACTATTATTTGGTCATATACAAATTGTAAAAGCGTTCTATGTTCAAACTAAAAGAGTTCATATTCCGAACAAATGGAAAAAGTATTTACTCGAAATATAAAAAACCATCAAATATATTATGAATTGAACTACTTTTTGTAATAGTTAAAACCAAGATGGCCACATTGGATTTGAATGTGACTAACTTGTTTTTAAATAAAAATCACTTTGAATTGAATACTTACATATTTGACATACGGCTTAAATATGTTTTTTATTTAAATGAAAGGTTTTAATATTTAATATGACTATGCATGGGAGTAAAAAAAATCAAATAAAAATATATTTGATTTCACTTCGTGTTTTTTCTACCAGTGTATTTTAAAGGAGTCCCTAAAACAGTTGAAAATGAAACGAATGAACCAATTCTTTTAATATTGTATGACTTGATGATGGGAGCCTTTAATAAAAATGTGTGTGAGCTGTTTACAAAAGGATCACACCATAGGAATTTATCAGTAATAGTGGTAAATCAGAACATATTTCATAAATCTTCGCACACCAGAGATATTTCACTAAATACGAAATACATTGTTGCTTTCAAAATCTTCGTGATAAGCTTCAATTTCAATGATTAGCAAGACAAATTTACCCAGAAAACCCCACGGAGCTATTTAGAATATATAAAGAAGTAACGGAGCAACCTCACGAATATTTACTTATTGATCTCACTCAGGGCATTAACGATCTCTTAAGATTTAGATCTGACATTTTTAATTCAGAATATTCTGTGTGCTATTCAAATGAAAATGGTTTACAAAAAGAGCCTAAATCGCTTGAAAGCGAACAAACATTTATTGTATGTGCTCAAAAGGGCCGACAATAGACTACGTAAGGCAATTATAAGCAATAGTAATAGTGACCTGGTAAAAACAATAGTAGAGATTGTATTGAATACATTACAGGGAAACCATAAAGTTACTAAATCCAATCTTAATGCTCTAAAAAAAAATAAAAATGTATTGCGCTACCTTTCGTGCCCAAAGCGTACATTAAACTCTAAGAGAAAAGTCCTTATTCAAAAAGAGGGATTTCTACAGATTCTAATAACTTCATTGCTTTCTGGAGTTTTTGGAAAACTATTAGAAAATGATTAAGAATAAACATAATTTAAGCAAATTAATTTTAATGCATCCTAACAGCTATCAGAAATTGATAAACAATGATAGAGGAAATGAATTAATAAATATAAAATTTTTACCAATATTAAATAATAACAAAATAAGTGATTTCGATAAATGGATCAAAATTCGTCCAGAATTAAGTTACTATCAAAATAAAAAACGTAATAAATCATGGAATTTTCAAAATGGACAAAAAGCGAATCCTATTACAACCAAAACAATTGAATCCCAAACCACTGATTGGATTGATATAAAACCCAGCACATCAAAATCAACATCAAAGTACGATCACCCACGTCCGGAAAAATTTGAGTTTCCCGATTTACCACCTGAAAGTGATGATGAGGATTTTAGTTCAAATAAAAAAGAAAATGTTGTATCAGATACACGAAAAGTGAGTGATACCTCTTTTTTAGATAGTCAAACAGATAAAAAGAAAATAGGATTAGAGAAACCAGTGCTCAAAGTGAAGCTTAATGAACGACAACGCAAATTCAAAGCAAAACTACAAAAATTTAGATCGGAAACTTTACCTTATCAAAATTTTAAATATGTAACAGGACGTGAAAGGTTAATGCGATCGGTTAGAACAAAAAATCCAGTACAAACTGGTAAAAATAAACTAAATTGGATTTCGAATCATTAACTTCCATAAAAATCAAATATGGGTTATTTAAATGAGATTTTTATCACATTGTTAAGTAATGACTCAATGAATGTATTTCCTGACAACGTAAAGTGTGCATTTACAAACATTCCAGAAGACATGAACGATGATTGGGAAGTCGGTATTTTAGACATATATTTGAATAATTACATTATATATACACCTAACCAAGATAAAAATGTCGTTGAAAAAACCGAGTTTGTTAGTCTTGTAAATGCTGAAACATTTAGGTATAAAAATGTATCCGTTCAAACGAATATTCCTGAAAATGGATTGATTTTTATTTACACTGACATAATAAAACCAAGGTCAGTAGGTAGTAAAAGACCGCGATGTCTTCGTGTAATGCATTATAATGGAAAGGAAAAAAATATTCAATTTAAAAATATTGAATGTTACCCTTTGGACATATGGTCACCAAATGAAATCTCAATACTAATTACTGATTCCAATGGATATAAGGTACCATTTGAAACTTCAGCTGTTCCGATTTTCGATACTCTTCACTTTAGAAGAAGGAGAAGGTCAGGACTATAAATAATGCATACCCAAATATTATTTATTTAGAACCAAAATAGTCATCATGGTGAAATCTTATCAGGATTATTATGTAAATCAGTGTGGTGGGGGCTTAAGCAACATCGGAAGTCTTTACATATATCCGCACATAGTGCAACAAGGACGAGGAATCGGAAATTTTTTAGCGGTCTTTTTAATTACAAAAAACAACTTTTTCTTTCGGGCATAACTGCTATAAAAAATCAGGCTGCTGAGACTGGTAAGGCTGTAATCAATTCATTTTTGGGAGAAAGCCTTTAAGAAATATAATTCAAGAACAAAGTAAAGTTGCTTTACAAAATCTTTCAAATAAAGCAATTGATAAAATTACCCGTTTTCAAAGTGGAAGTGGAAAAAGAAATAAAAGGCTAGGTAATAGGAAAAAACGACTTCATTACACATCTAAACGACAACGTAAACGTACCCAAACGCAACATAAAAAGAAAAACAACAAGAAAATTAAATATTTAAGATATTTTTGAAAATTTTGAATGTATGAAAAGTGAATTAGATTTGTTTGCGGCACACCCCACGCAAAGTTCTATTCTAAGAACTGAAGAAGTCTCATACAATCCAATTGCTTCTTTGGACGGCGCTTCTTCAATCGAATTTGTTTGCTTGGGAAATGGTGAAACGTATCGAGATTTATCAAGTGTTTATTTACAACTTGTTGTGCAACTTAAAAAAAATGATAACAACAGCATTGAAGGAAATGCTGTTGGTGTTGTAAACAATATTCTACATTCAATATTTAGAAGTTCGTCAGCTTATTAAAATAAAATACTGGTATCGCAAAGTGATAATAATTATCACTATAGAGCGTATTTGCAAACAATTTTAAACTATGGGAGTGACGCCTCTGAAAGTCACTTGGCCTCCCAAGGTTATTTTCCCAATTTTGGAAGAATAACAGCAGGGACTCGAATGAAACCCTTAAAAATATGTTTCAACAAGTAACAAGGTTGAGTTATTCGGAAAAGTTCATGGAGATATTTTCAATCAAACCAAACTGCTTGTTAACAATGTTGATTTAAGAATGATTGATTGATTTCAATATTGAAAAAACAGCGTTTTATTTAATGGAAACTGGTACTGAATCAAATTTAAAGATACTTGAAGCACAACTTTTCATGAACCACATAACAGTTAACCCAAGCATTTTATTGGATCATCATCATGTTTTACAAAAAAAAAATGGTCTGTACCCTTTCAGCAAGGTTTAAGTCAAATCATTTACAATATATCCGGGCAACAATACACTGTCGATAGACAACGCAGTTATTGGTCAAATACCAAATTTTCTGGCCTTTTGTGTGGTTAAAAACCGCTCATACTCAGGAAACCGAGCCTTAGACCCATTTCAAATTGAACATTTTAAAATTCAACGCTTTAACCTATTGGCCAATGGAGTTCAAGTTCCTTCCCAGGCTCTGGAGTTCGATTACTCGAACGCTGAAAAGGTTCAAAGCTCAAGAGGTTATAATATGCTTTTTAGATCATGTGGAATTAAACATTACGATCGTGGACTACAAATTAGCAAGGAAATGTTTGATTCAAACAGTTTTATATTATACGATTCGTTGATTGATATTGATAAGCATAGAAATATTCATACGCTCTTTTTCGGATAGGTTACCAAAAACTATTTTAAAGTGTCCCGCACTAATAATTGCGAGTACCGACACTTCAAATCAACCTGGAACTCATTGGATTGCATTTTATTTTGACAATATCCCCAGAAAAAAGAATTTTTCAAATTTTTAAAATCTAACGCTTATAAATTTTTTTTTAATAAGCAACAACTGCAGGGATACTCTTCTAACACTTGCGGACTTTATTGTATGCTGTACGGTCTTTTTAAAAGTAAAAAGAAAACACTACATTTTTTTTAAAGAAAATTCAAGAAAAACGACTATTCATTTAATGATAAATCAATAATAAAAATGTTTAAGAACCATTTAAAAAAATAAAAAACATATATATTTAAGTAAAATTAATTCGTTTTCTTTATGGTTTTGG